GGGGGCAAATTATGTGCTGTAATATTGATGCTTCTATTCCTACTGGAACAATCTTTGGGATTTATAACCGGCTTGAGGAACTAGATCTTCTTCAAGTGGAAGAGAAGGCAACCCTCAATTCCCTCCAAAGTGGGAATAAGCTTTTTGCTTCTGCCTATGTCTCTATTCGTCAGCTACTATACTGTGCACCAGTTATGGGTCAGGATCGCATGCATTCACCCTGGACCACTCAACAGGAGATTTCGTTCTCACACACCCAAACATCAAAAATCCTCCACGACGTAAGAGATTAAACTTCTACCAACAAATATGGTAGCTCATTTGGAACATATGCAATGTTGGGTCAATCTAATAATAGAAGGAAACTGCTAATCATTTTGACTGATATGATGATATCAATGTTGATCCCTTGTTATACCAAGGTAAATCTATTCTGTCAATGATGCACGGTATTTCGACTGGCCTGAAGGTTAAACGCTGTATATTGATACTATAAGACAAGGCAAGGGCTGACATCCTAAGAATTATTCTGCCCGGTATATATGTTCCCTTGTTGCCGATTTCCATCGCACTCTCCTAGACGGCAGAATTGCAATAAATCCATGAGACCATCTTCGTCTTGTCTATGAAGCAAATCCACTCAGTTTCCTAGCAGAGCAAGCAGGAGGCAGAGGTTCTGATGGTAAAAGTAGAATTTTGTCTCTCCAGCCAGTTAAGCTACACCAAAGACTTCCTTCGTTTTTGGGGAGTCCCGATGATATAGAAGAATTAGAGAGTTACAGGATGTTCAACAGAAAGTAAACCCTGGCTATGAAGTTTAAAATAGAAGCCATCCTATTTTGGCGTGAATATTTATATCTAGGGGATGTTTGGGAGGGATTCTCAAATTTTACAGTAAATCAATTCTTATTTTCAACCACACATTTTTCAATAAAATAATATTTTTCATCACATCAATAATTTTTTCTTCTTTTTCAACTACACATTTCCCATCGTATCACTATTTAAAAATCAATTCTTCCCTCAAAAATTCCTCCCAAACAAGCTACTAGTGTTATTATTGAACATCAAAACTAACTTAATGACTGGTACATAAATTTTGACCTGACTCGATATCAGAGCATTACAGTATCACAACACGTGTATAGAATTGACGGCCTCTACAATTACTCTGGCAATTGGATTCTACTCTTAGGGTCCGTTTGATAGCAAATATGGAAAATTGGTAGGAGAAAAATGAATTTTAGGGAATTGAATTGTCTAGAAATTGTTTAACTGGGAATTGTAATTAATTGTGTTTGATTAGTATAATTTTCCACTTGGAAAATGTTGAAAGTATGGTGTTTCTTTGGCTTTATTTTTTATGAAAACTGTTCATTAATGTGATAATTTATTTTACCATTGGGTCTAGAATTTGTTTAACTTGCCTAAAAAAAAAATTACAATACCTAGAACTTGTATGGGAGAGATTAAAATCAGATTAAAATTGAAAATATAGCCGTTAGAGTT